GTGTGTGTGTGTGTGTGTGTGTGTGTATATATATATATATATATATATATGTGTGTGTGTGTGTGTGTGTGTATCTTCTCTCTACTTTCCTGTTGGGCCAGGCACATCTTTAAATCCTGGTTCTCCAGAAGCAGTCCATTCTAAATAAATACATTTCAGTTGATTGTGAGTGGTTGTAGTATAATGCCCACTTTATGTTGAAGTTTATCCATATTTAATAGAGCACTTGTTCCACTGCTCAGAAGTCATCCATTAAAAGTCTGTTACTCATTTAATTTTCTTCTGTCTGGAGTTACCTGTTTACTCTCTGGAGGTCCTGTTCTGGAGTGATTTGTGTGTTAAAAGGTTACCAGATTAAAAAATGCAGCATGTAGTATTGTTTCTTAAAGAAACCGTAATCCCCCTGGTGCTTTGAAAGGTGACATTACAGTATGTTTTCTCTCCCCTCCAGGCAACTAAGAATACAAGCCAAGTCTATAATAAACAAGGTTTCCTCAATTTGCTGTACATAAATAACAATAGACTCCTGTGTTTCATATTATTACTACAGGAAGCATTGAAGGAGAACCATAAAAGAAGAGAACTGGAGGAGAAGACAAAGAGAGCCAAACTTGCAAAAGAGAAAGCAGAACGTGAAAAATTGGAGCGGCAACGGAAGAAAAAGCAACTGATTGACATGAATAAAGGTAAGGCCACATTACTGGTTTGGATGAAGCAAGATTTGATAGATTGGTAATAAAAACACTTAACTCGGTATTAATGACAGAGAACAAACTCTTTCCAAACATTTTCACAGAGGTTCTTTTTTAATGCTGTGTTCGCTTTCGTACTGTTATTTGTTAGATGTTGCATTTTCTCAGGTCTTTCGTATTGAGTTCAATGAGTTTTACATGTGGCTTTTTCTTTAGAAGCATAACTGTATTTGTTTTAGGCTTTTAAGTTATCAATATTTTGCAAGCGTCTTCCTAAGAGGGTGAGTGGCAGTCAACACCTTTCTTCTGCAGTTTGAGGCTGTCCTTACTGTAGATGGATGTTCTCTCAATGGTCCATTTTTCCGTGAGCTGCCACAGCTAGCTTTATTGGTGAGCTTTGCAGATTGACAATCGGATATGATATAGGAAGCCACGCTGAGCTTGCTGGGTAGCTGAACTGACACTTCATTGTGTGTGAGGGCATTTGATGAGCGAGGGCGCACGAAGGAAGGGAGGGAAAGAATCAATAGGCTCTTAATATCTCTGCTTTGCAGAGTTGGAAAGGACTGTTGAAATGCATGCTTTATTCTCCATCCCATTGGATTTCCGAAACAGAAGAGAGATGACACAGATATGAATTAGATTGAACGAGAGATTACTTCACTCTGCAGTTTGCGGTTCCCCCTTCTGTGATCATTTCAGTTCTGTGGTGAGGCACAGCTTAATCCTTCCCAATCATAAAACACATAAAAATGCACAGTGTGTGACTGTAGCTTGTCCTTTCTACCCAGTGAGCAAATCTGATGGGATTCAGTCCAAGTAAAAATAGCAATATTTCTCTCTTGACAAATATTATACAAGATGCCAAGGTATATTAGTTGTGTATCAGAATAAATCATGTAATGAGTGTGAATTGAGGTAGTGGGACTCCTGTGGGCTTGAACCAGTCACATGTGCCTTACAATAAAATCAGCACAGGTTGTCATGAATATTTTAAAAAAAGAGCATCTTTGATTCGTAATCTATTATTCAGCAAAATAATTAGTGGTGTGTTATTTTATGGGTTTTTTTTAGCTTGTAAAAAATTGAAGGTATGTGTTTGTATACATACTGTGCTGTAATAGGTTTGTTCCTTTGATAGCTTCAGCAAAGCTCTACTCATATTTTTTCCCTTCTAATTCCAAATTAATGTTCTGTTGATCCTTCCAATTGAAAGGATTTTTAAGGCTATGCTCTGCATTATCACATTTCCCCACCCTTTCAGTGTGTCTTTTTAAGACATATTTCATTGTTGATTCAAGTTCTGACCAGTTCATCTAGTACATTTCACCCCCCAAACAAACCATACAATCTGCCTACTCTCTCCAACGTAATTCGCTAAGTATGTGTGCATATATACACCCACATAGGCACTGTTCCTCTAGATATAAGTTGCCTTTCATTGCACAAAAGAGACAGTTGAGGGGCCAAAGGACAATAATAAGTCTAATTCAGATCACAAGTCACAGGGTTGTTTTTTTTTTTCCCTGCCACTTTGAATTATGGCAAGAATATTAGAAATTTATGGAGCTATTACATAACTTGTACACACAAATCTGCATTCAATCTGGATATGAATCTATAATCTTATGTAACACTAAGCCTATATAACAATTCAGTTATGAAATGTCTTATAAGGCATGTAAGTATGTAGAATGGAGCAAAGGCCGCATGGAAGAGCACAAGGTTTTAATGCAAAAAATGTATTAGAAAACATTTTGATGCACATATTACTTAATCAGAAACAATTTCAGTCTTCATTATCACTGATTACCATGGCAATTAAAATAACCTGTAAACTTAGTGGCATAAGAATAAAAGAAAGAATGAGCTGCCTCACTTACAATTAGTGTTGAATTAATTGTTTTGAAAGGTACATTAACATTCCCTTAACACAGATGAAGATAATAGAGTGAGTTCATTATTGGGGATTGACGGCTATCTGGCATGTCAAGGTATTTCGCCTCGGAAAACACATTAGCATCCAAATAGCTAAACCCTAAGCCCATGTCTATTAATATTCAAAATTACATTATTGTGAATAGCTTCATTGTACTTCATGCAATAGAGTTAATTCTGTCCTACTGATTAACAATCCAATGTAAAGAGACCCAATTGCTGTTAAAATAGATACATCAGTCAGTTTTAACTTCACTTGACAGATCTAGGTAACTAATGCAGTTCTGAAATGTATGAAGTATAGTTATTGTAACAGACATTTTATCTGTAGTGAATCTGTCATCTAATTGCCTTTGCAATGCACCTAAACCATCTGGTTTATAACAGTCTGATGATCACATGCATGAGCATTCTTTGGTTTCATTGATCATGATAATTGATCAAAGGAGAAAAAAAATCTTGAAACATCACAAGGACAAATGATGTCTTGATGGATTGCTAAAACAGGATTTCTGAGGGTAAGACCACTCTAATCTGGATGAATGATGAAACCATTTCATTCCATCACCATAGAGTCATCATGACCTCAGCTATCTTCACAAGACCATTTGTATAGCACAGTCTGTGCCTTTCTAGTGAGTAGTATACCACAGAAATATTACATACCTTGCTTTGTAACCCAAGCACTACGGTCCCTTGAACACTTTTCCCTTATGCAAAGGGAAATTTGAAATAATTGCTGTCTGGATTTGGCATCTTGGTATACTTGATACCTGATTGTCCTACATCTGAGGAATAAGTAGGACTCAAAGTACTTTTAGGAGCAATGCCAGGATATAGAAAAATGATAAAACTTTGCTGCAGATATCATAGTAGTGGTCAACCCATTAAAAAAGAGAAAATAATATATTTAGTTTAACAATACACATACATAATAAATGAGTTTATCAGCACATTGGAAATGTACTGTGTGTGCTTCGAAGGAAGGTATAGAAGCAGTAGATTGAGCATAGTTGGTAGAAGGCAGTAATTCCATCTACTACAACACAACCTACACAAGCTATGAAAAGGATCACACTGCCATTCATCAGAAATGTCTCAGAAACCACCAACAGACC